CCGCCCCGCCCCTCCGGATATTAGTGAGGACTGGACTTCCTAATGCCGGCGGCAGGAGGGCAGCGACATGGGGTGGCCGGCCCTGCCTGTCTAGCGCGCTGTCCGGCCAGCCCCCCGCCCTGTCCCAGCCGGCCCCGCCTGTCCTGGGGCGGGAAAGAAAATGATTTTCGAGTCGAGATGTGGGGCTGGGCCGAGGGCCGGGCCGGGCCGCCCTCCTAGGCCCAGGCGGGAGCCCTGGCTTCATTACGGGCGGTAGGCAGGCGCCCCGCCCCGCCCTGGGCTGGTGCTGGACCACCCTCCCCCGGGAGAGAGTCATTCTGGTGGTCTGAATTTACTTTGACCTGTTATTGTGTGGTCACTGTGTCAGTATGTCGATGTACGCCCCTCCCACCCCCCCTTTCCCCACATCACACTCACATGGTCCGCGTGCCCTGTGCCTGTCTGTCCTGCGTTGTGCTGAGCCACCGTTCTCCCTCCTCTGTGTCTCCAGATGTAGCGAGCAGCAGAGCTGCAGCGTGGCCGCCCACACCAGCATGTTCGGCGACCCGTGCCCCGGCACCCTCAAGTACCTCGAGGCCCACTACCAGTGCTCGCCAGGTAAGTGTCGTGAGTGTCCTGCATGTCTTCATGTCCGTATGTGGCTGGGTGTTCAAGTGGGAAACTAAATTCTATCAGAGGATCTCATTTGTCGGGAACAATTTTATTTTAGCAGATGCACTTTCAGCTACAAAGTTAAAATTATATGGCAAAGTTTTCCGTCATACCCTCATAGATATCGTAGCGGATGAAAACAAGAAACTGGTCTCAAATTTATATTATCTGATTTCGAAAACCTTTACAAGTCGGATCTTTTTTCTTTCTTTTAATTTTTCTTTTGTAGAATTTGAAGAACGATGAACGTTGAAAAAAGTGAGCATTGGCAGGTTAGCATAACTGTGTCGTGAAGCCGAACAAGGGGATAAGATCTATATCCATGACCTTTTACAGCTGAACGAAATAAAAGGTCTATCCTGTTGTAACCTAAACCAGCTTGGAAAACGTTCAATTTGCGCAAAATAAAAAAATTGAAACTAACGCCCACTTCGGCGTTTAATTCAGACTAACGCGCAGTAAGATATACGCCCAGAATAGTAAACGCTCACTTAGATCAACGCTCAGTCCGACTAAGCGGGCTAATTCTCAATCGGTAACAAGTTCCATTAACGTAACACCTACATTGGTAGGGTAACTTCAGTCAGTATGCGCAATGCTCATTCAGCTATACAGGATTGGTGATCTGCGCCGTCCTTTGTTTTGGTTACACGGCACTGGATTCGGGCGGACGGGCGGGCGGGCTTGCCTACCTCGTCCGCCATGGTGCCTTACGGCCCCGTGCTCGTATGCAACCCTTTCGCACGCAAGAATCTGGCACTGTATAACCA